CAATTTTGATACCCTTTCCGGTCCATTCTAGCTTCTTGAATATTTCCTCAAGGCAAGCTGTAAACAGTTTTGGTGAGATGGTATCGCCCTGTCTAACACCTTTCTTAATTGGGACTTTATCGGTTTCTGTGTGGAGCTTGATGGTTGCTGTCCCATCTTCGTAAATATCTTCATTAATATTTTACAATATACCTCCTCTACTCCCTGTCTTTGAATAGCTTCTAGTACTGCTGGTATTTGTACAGAGTCAAATGCCTTTTTGCAATCGATGAATGCTGGCTAAACGAACATCTTCATAGAAGCTTTCTATTTCGTCATCACTGTGGCTGCAGGTTGGAGCATAGACTTGAACAATCTTTAAATTGTACCTATTATTTAGTTTTATTGTTACTGAAGCTACTCTTTCGTTTATACTATGGAATTCTACGATATTCTTTTCTAAACGTTTGTGAACTAAGAAACCTACCCCTCATTCTTGCTTGCTACCCTGGGGTTTATCTCTCCAATAGAGCACGTGTCCATCACCTAATCTTCTAACCTCATAGAGTCCTACAACATCCCTTTTAATGAAGGAGAGTTCCTTATGTAATGCTAGTAAATCGGATTCCGTTCTCATTCTCCTTATATTATATTTGCAAAGGTTTATCAACGTGGGCCGGCCTGTTCTTGGCTGGAGATTCTTAGCACCCTCTGCTCTGCAGCGATCCTGATCGCCGCCGTAACCAGGGACTCCTTCGCCTCCGGGGAATGAGGGCCGTTGCTCTGTTGGTACAGTTATGATTCTTGATTGTGAGGTAGACAGCTGAGTTACCTCCCACCTACCGGCCTAGATGTATCTTGATGGGAGGGGGAGTATTTTAGCCGGGATGTCACTGATAAGCCCCTCCAGCAAGGTTGGCTCTGTCTAGTATGAACTTATGAGCAGCAACACACGGGCCTGCTCATTACACCAGGGTATGACTAGGCCTCGAACCTAGGTCACTAAGGCTATGGAACCGGAAGGCACTAAACCAACCATATCAAACGACCCACTAAAAGGATTCGAACTAGCTCCATAGACATTACCTATCCACTCATACTCATGAGTAAGGATAGCGAGGTTTTACACACACTCACCGTGGGCACTCGTTTGAATTTGTATAATATTTTACTTACTACTAATGCTATGATTTTGAATATATCAGCACAGTTTGGCTTAGCAAAGATTTCAGGGCTACATGCTTGGCTCTTCTTACTATATCAACAAAAATTGTAATTAAGTACATAAATTGCATCGATTATCTAGTGTAATTTGTGGACAAGGAATACCAAGAAACTGAGGCTGAAAACCACCGCCTATTGCGAGTCTTTAAGCCTCGCCATGTGTCTCCATGTTACGTGGAGAGGAGGAGAAGGTATGAAGAAGGGACTGAGGATCAGAGGCTCAGAGAGAAAATTGATGAAAATGAGCATAGCTTCTTAGAGACAAAAGAGCGCGACGTCGAGGAAGGGAAGGTAGGCGTGATTCACGGTGTAGGCTCTCAACTGGAGAGGGTGACCGCAAAGGTGGATCGCTGGAGTTTAGTGAGAAGGGAGTCAGAGGCGGAAGAATTTATATGGCAGCCATAATCAAGGGTGGGGACGATTAGGGTAATGTGGAGTGTTTTGCAGTGAGCGAGGGTCTGTAAGAGTTGAAGTCGACGGCGAGGTTTTCTTTAAGAGAGAGGATATGACCTCGCAAAGACAGATTGGAGTCAGAAATGACCCCAAGGAACTTGCCTGAAGGTCGGAATTGGAAGGGAACATCATATAGAAAGAGTAGTGGTTGGGAGCCTATATGTGAACGAGGAAAAAGGGTGGAAAAAGTTTTAGAGATAAGAAATCAAAAGCCCTGGTTGGTAGCCCAGGAAGAGATTGATGTTATTGCCGACTGGAGAAACTGATGCAGGGCTGGTATGGAAGGACCAGAGGCAAAGAATGCTAGATTTCCTTTTAAGAAAGGTAGAGCAAGGGCTTCATGCCAGTGGAGTGGAACATTTCCAGTTGTCCATAGAGATTTCAGAAGAAGAGAAAGGTGTGTTCCCCCCTCAGTCCCCGTCTCCTAACCCCCCCACGACAACAACGGGCAAGGGATTGGGGGGGGTCAGTTCCTTCTTAGTCCACTCCCCTTCTCGTTCCTATTAAAGAATTCTCAACGCTGTCTTGGTCCAGTATAGGTTCTACGTGTCTTCTTTGGAACTTTATTTAGAATGAGGAATCACAGACCTTACATGGCGTAAGGTGCCTGCCAAAATTCAACATCTGTATTTCAGTCGTATCAAGTCTTTTGTTTTCCCCTTTTTCTAACACCTTACAGCTAGTGACTATTACTGAATTAATAACTAGTATCTGTTTGAGAAAATAGAAAAATAGGAAATTTATTTATATTACTACATTTATTTTTCATCAATTTTTACATTCACATTTATTTTGCATTCTTTCTAATTTCTGTAAGGCATATAAAGGTTAATAATGCACAAGATCTTCTGAAATGTTTATATTTCTGACATATCACAGAAAGGCATACACACATATGTCACCAATATTATATGTTTTTTTTTACTAGTTTCTATTAAAGAGTAAAAAAATTTGTCTTTATGAATAGCTACACTCATATTCACTCATAGAACCACCCTTAGTATCACACAGTTATGCATTTCAAAAAAGAAAGAAAAAAAATCACATTTTTGTAACATGAAAAAAGAAAAATCAAATATAAATATAGAGAAAGCAAAAACCAAAAATGATCACTACTTATTTAAAGATACATTAGTGAAAGTGGATGAAATTTGCTGCTCTTGGAATTAGGATGAAAATGAGCAAATAATTCTGCAATTTCAGATTTATGACTGGTATTTCAATGGTTGCAACTCTAAATTGATATATGTGATTCACATGAAGGCCTAGCTACTGAAATATCATATATATATATATATATATATATATATATATATATATATATATATATATATATATATATATATATATATATATATATATATATACATATGTATCACACATTTTCTTTATTTTCTTATTTCTTTATCTATTTTCTCAAAAATAACAATGAACCTTGATATTATCAAAGAAAAGAGAAGAAAATAAAAAGAAAAAAGAAAAATCACTTAAATCTCTTCTCATAACACCCACTTTGACAATTCAAAAACAAATTACGCATCAGATCTCCAGTGTCAAGTGTATATGTAAAGGATTTTGTGCCCTATAAGAGCACATTTACAAGATTTCACTTAAAAGCCACAGAGAATCTTTAATTTTACTTGAACATACCAAAGATATAACAGAGCTAAAATCAAATGCTTGTGAGATCGTCATCGCTATAAACCTGCACTACCAACTTTCCCTGCTTTTCGAGCGTCTTTTCTTTTCTTCGACCAAACAGCGGAAGTTCCACCTGTGTCACATTGGGATTGATGGGAGCCACGACTTCCGCTCGCCCGATAAATCCATCCATTAGCAGGTTGCTGTTCCACACCTGTTTTCAAAATGTTCAAATATTACAATCATAAAATCTTCCCAATAAGAGTTCAATATTCAGAAAAGGAATTGAAGAATTCTCTTTTCACTGATGAAATAATACATTCAATGTTAATTCATAATGTAAAAGCTTTGACTGCAGAGTTCTGGAGATATTTGCCAAAAAAAAAAAATCTTTCTTATTCATGCATTTATTCTGATTATTTAAACTATAATGTCGGAACAATCTTTAAAAATTACCATTTAACGGCAACTGGATTCATATCAAAAAGTGGAAAATGAAACCAATACTAGCTCACTGATGAGCCCAACCTTTTTCCCCGTCATCGTAAATTATGCGTTTGAGCCGTCTCATACGCCTCTTAGGCGCTTGGTTCTTATATAGCATTTCTGTCCTATACCTTGACATAGTATCATTCTATCAAACTTTACACCGAACTTCTAAATGACAAAGCAACTGAACCCTATTTAACACATACCTCAAGCACAATAGGCTGACCAGGTTTAGTACGGTAAAAGATGGCCGTTGTGTCCCACTTGGGGTCGGACGTTCCCTTCTCCACCGGCGTCCTTACCACTTCACCCTCGCACTTTATCAAGCAATATGCATCAGCCTCTCCTAAATCACATCGGAAAGGTTTATGGGAAATGAGGCTTTGTTAATGCATACATATTTTTTTTTATAACAAATTAGTTTTTCCTTGAGGCATTCAAATATATTTCAAGTATGTCTTCATAATTAATCATCTATAGAAACTTAATACACTAAATTATAGATTATAGAAAAACTGTAGCCCTTCATAAAATATTTAAAAAATCAAGTCTATATAATATTAAAGTAAAGTAATACTTCTGCATTTACCTTTCAATTATCAGGCCATATTAAGGTAGGTTAATATGTCATTCTTATGTCACACAATTATCACACATTTAATGTACTAAATATTATCATTTTGCTAACATCAATTCTAAATATATCCTTATATTACAACTTTATAATTTAGATAAAGGTTCAAAAGAGAACACAAGATAAAACATATACAATCAAATAAAATTATATCTACCTAAAAACAAAAATGATATTCATACTATCATTCCTAAAATTCTTACATGCATTTACTACAAGAAGTAAACACTGGAAACTTACTTACGCGATTGACTCCTTAACCAAAGATGAAAGCATGCATTAGTGTTGCATTTAAAAAGAAACATTTCATATTTTGGAGGAATATTTCACTTTTTTTTTTTTTTTTTTTTTTTTTTTTTTTTTTTTTAAGAGTGGATCAAGACATAAAGTGTCAAAGTCATGCAAATTAGCAAATGATTCTAGTTTATATTACAGGTATATGTTACATTTTGAAAATCCCATACATCAATACTATATTCTAAATTTAGAATATGATAATTTCTGCATACAGTAACAAACATCAGATTAACAATAACTACTCTTAATAGCTTTTACTACAACCACTAGAATATATACACAGCAGATACAATTATCTGTAAATTGTAGTAAATGTGTAAAATCTCCAGTGCTCTGTTGAATATTTGAATCATTCCAGTTTAGACATGATGTTTGCTTGCCCAGGAGGTGTTCATACAGTCAGCGGACGCATTTCATAAAGTCTTCTTGTCACGTACAGAAATAAAACAAAGCCCAAAAGTCACGCAAGGAACAAGGGACCCACGTTGTTTCAAATCAGACCAGATTCTGCCACAGGTGGAATATCAAAGAAAATACTTGAAAATTAGCAGATCTATTCTTTAATCTAGTTTTATTACACTAGGTATAGTACAAATTGATCCCACTACAGAACAAAACGGCAATGTATTAACTGCTAGCTGAGTCTATGAACACCAAGGATGAGCATCTCTATGTGCGTTTGGTGAGCCCAACCTTTTTCCCCGTCATCGTAAATTATGCGTTTGAGCCGTCTCATACGCCTCTTAGGCGCTTGGTTCTTATATAGCATTTCTGTCTGATTTGCCAATTCTTGAAGGCATGCAAAAAAATACATCATTTAAGAAAAAAAGGAAAAAGAAAGAAAAGCATCCACATATCTTCAAGCAACAGCATAACAGATGGATCAAAAATATCTCATTATAATATTTCTATAAATGTATGTTTCTCTGAAGTCATACAGGCCCATTAAATAAGTATTCAAATTACTGAATTTAATGAATTGACTGACAAAGTTCTTATTTTAGAGAAGCAACGATACAGATATTGTAAAATTAAACACACAACACTATCCTGCACTCCACTGCAAGTCAAGCCTAAACCAGCTAAGAAGATCCGACCTAACTCTAAAAAAAAAAAAAAAAAAAAAAAAAAAAATATATCAACCTCCAATAAATTTCATTACAAGGAAGAAAAAGTGTATGAATAAAAATAAATAAATAAATAGATAAATAAAAAATCCAAACCACAACACACATTCACTCTAGGCAAACCATGAATATGTTTTATTTCTTATATCCTACCTCCAAATGCTGACTGTTTCTCCAAGTTAAAAGCACCTTTAACAGTGATGGTGGTCACAAGGACTGGCTTTTTGACACAGGAATACCAGCGGATTCGAGGCTGATCCAAAGTGAGCTCTCTGGAAATGTAAGGAATGTGTGCGTAAAACTGAAAAACTGACATACACGTTAGCCTCTATACTATGAAACAACACAATGAAAAAAGAAAGAAAGAAAGAAAGAAAGAAAAAAAAAGAAGTTTTCAATAGCATACCTTGCACTAGCATCCTTGGATGTGAACATTCTCATAATAAATTCTCCAGTTTCGTCCGGCTTAAACGTGGTGGGTATGATAACATAGCGTCCCTGTTTCAACTGTTCTCGCAGAAATATTGCTCGAGTGCGGATGTAGTCTGAGGTGGCTATACTCTCATGTATCCTGTGAACACGGTATTTCCTGTTTTCCTCGACCTGAAATTTTCAAACTTTATGTTAAAATTGAAATAAAAGTATTCTGAAGAAAATGTCTGTTATAAAATCTATCTTGTATCTACCATATATGTTATTCAATAAAGTTAGAGATCTTTATTATAGTTATAACTTATAATTATACGTTCAGAGATACATGTGAACATAGGATGAGCTTTTCTTGGTCTGTTTTCACACCCATTATTATAGCTCTAATCACTTTAATATAGGTATTTATGGTATGTTCTCAATTTTTTTTTTTTACCTATTATAACCAACATCTAGACATCTATGACAAAAACAAATGCATTTCATCAATCGGGCTAAATCTGTTACCCCGCAATAGCTCATATCTGGTATGGGGTAACTATCACACCTTCATTATGTGGAATCCAATGACAAGGTTCTGGATCCCCTCCTGCTTCCTGTCACGCGTGTCTTTCTGCATCAGCTGGAATATAACATCATCACTCTCCTCCCTGATATCAAACCTGAAATAAATAAATAAATAAATAAATAAATAAATAAATAAATAAATAAATAAATAAATAAATAAATAAATAAATAAATAAATAAATAAAAAAAAAAAAAAAAAAAAAAAAAAAAAAAAAAAAAAAAAAAAGGCATCCAAGTAAGTCATTAGGTCTAGTTATTGTCATGCCAAAGATATCTCCATCTAATATGGCCAGGAACTAAAGAACTATCTCGAGTTCCCCAAACAGAAAGCATAAAATACAAAACAGCAGTAAGATTACCTTAGCTTACACGTACATGTAGTGCTCGGAACAATTAAGATGCATAACTTGCCACCCAGGCTTGAAAATCTGCTTACCGATACTGTGGATTACGCAAAAAGGAATCCTTGTGGTTTGGACACCCTCCTGCCCGGTCTGAGTTGTGGCCCCGAATGCCGATGGTCCATGCATCCACGAAGACAGTTTCATGCCATGTTTTGCTGAGACTGAAGACTTTGGTGTTGATAAGGAAACAGATAGAGAGGTCGGTGAAGTGCTCCACAAAGTCATCAAATGTCATCCTAGAATGCAAGGAAAATTCACTGTAGTTAATAAATGATTCAGGTAAATGTAGGAACATGGGAAAATTGTACCTTTATACATTTAACTATTTAAATACAAGCAGTATCAAAAAGTGTTAATAACTTTTATGTACAGTTTGCCTTGAAAGCTATAAAATCAATATCCTATAAAACTAGTATTCTATTTCTTAGTAAAAAAATACTGTACAGGATACAACAGCCTCTCTCAAAATCAGTCATATTTCACTTACCAAAACTCTCCATCATCTTCAAAAGTCAGTCCTAATTTTTCTCTCTCTGATGCCGAGACTTTTGACCATTCTGGCGATCTGTTGGGTATATTCATCATGCTTTAAAAAATGGCTAGTTTTCCTAGTACGAATCAATCTATATCAGCGTAACTGTAAATCCTGTCCATTATACAAATTGCTTTTGTTATAAGGTATCTCTATTGAGAAATACACTACATTTATAGGACATATTCCAAACATCAACAACATGCACTCTTGCTAACTTATAAAAGAAAAGAAAAAAGAAAAAAAGAAAGAAAAAAAAAGTCAAAAGATGCAAAACCTGCTGAAAAATCACTTGGAATCCTAAATGACATCAGGAAAAGGTCTGGTATTGAAATAAACACTCTTCATTAGTTAGCAAGCTGATACAAATACATGAAGAGGAAGGATGGAGTTTCAGGTGGAGCTAAAGAAGTAAATAAAAAGAGAATAATTTAGTAGATAAATAAAATAAAACAAAACAACTTAGTAGCAGATTAGGGTCCAGAGATTAACCTCTGCATTTACAAAGGAATTATCCTCCTTCGCACATAGCAAAAATAACAGAGATCCGCACAGCCATACTTAATCTACTCATAAAAACAATTCTCAACTTTGTCCTTCATAAAATTTATATTAGATGAAAATTATCATAATCCTCTTCAAACCAAATATTTCATAAGAAAGGGCTTTTGCGTTATCAAGATGTATCCTAATTATCTGGGTTAACACTGCATTTGCACAATCATAAGAACATATATTTACAAAATAAGAAAATTAACCATTTTAACACTCAATATGACGTGTCCATTCAGTTCTTTTTTTTCTTTTTTTTACATGAAAATTTATATTGTAGCTACATAAACAAATCCCTCTGTCAAAGATAGAATAAAGAATTGTGTGCTTCTATACAATTAAACAATTATCAATGGATTCCCTTCTCAGTAGTGAATAATAGCATGACAGCCTTACATCTGGGTGACCCTAATAATGGCTGCTTTGGGATAGATGGAAAGAAATTATATATATTCCAATTCCGACATCTCACTGAGGGCCATATGCTAATTTTGCAGCTATATATCCACATCTTATTGGTGTGCAATTACAGTAATCAACTCTGTTACTGAGCAAAGCTTATTGAGCAATAGGCAGCAATCAAATCTTCTACACAATAAATAAAAAGATTAAAAAAAAAAAGGAAAAATGTTACTAAACTTACTGAACTATGTGAGAAGGATAAGTGCAAGCACTTGGTAAAAGGGGATTTGTGTATCACATTGACACTAAACAAACACTGATGGCAGTATTTCTCTCTTATCTTATGGATGCAGTATACAAATGAGAGTAAATGGAACTTCAATTCTCAGAAACCAAGACTCATAAAAGTAAATAAATTTGTATACCCAACAAACAGGGATTAGACTATCAATAAAAATACCATCAAACAAAGGCGAGAGATTTTGTATTCGTAAACAAGCGTCAAAAAAGAAATAAAAGATATAGCAGAACTAATAAGAGATATGACATGCTTCAAAACAACAACAACAAAAATGAAGTGAAAAGAACTCTTGAATGCAAAGCTGAATTCTTGCATCAGTAAGAAAAAAAAATAATAATAATAAAAAAATTAAAAAAAAATAAAAAATAAATAAAATCTAAGTAATATATCTAAAAAATGTCACAAAACTGAAATATCCACACAATGAGCTGGAAAACAGACTAGACCAAGGCAACTGAAGTGGGGCAGTAATAATGCAAAAAGCTAAAATAATTTCATAACAAAGACCATTCCGAGAGACAAAACAGTATCAGGTCAATGGCCAATAAAAAAATAAATAAATAAATAAAAACAAATCTAAGGCCATTAAAAAATACTAACATCAATTAGTGAAAAAACAGGACATATCTTCTAAATCTGTATCTCCCTTCCTTAACAAACCTTCTTGCATTTTACCACCCCAGTCGAACACCGCCCAAATCTTAACCTCTTGCCTACGGTGCATGTGTTTAGTGAATGTGGTACACACATTCCTCACACCTACTGTCAAAGAAATCCATTCTACTTTTTTATATTCTTTAAAAAAAAAAGAGCAAAAAAATTAAGAATCACCAAGTTACAGCTGTTTCGTTGTGCAAAACTTTGTGAAACACACACTATAAGTATTCACCTGGAGTACATTTTGGTCAGTTCCGAGGTAGTGTACACAAATCCACTCCTTTCTTTACTGTAAAACAATCAATCTTCTTGTGAAAACATGCTCCACTGCTACAAACAGAGCAAGTTTTAAATACGTCAAATACAACTGCTTAGGTGCATATATAGCTTCAACAAAAGAAAAAGCAGTGAGATATACAGTCTGCGTATTTTTAATAAAATAATTTAAGCCTCGTTTCAAGAATTATGCGTTCACAGGATACCTATCATCATATTTTTAGAGTAATCCCATTTCCATATGGATGAGAAGATGTGCTTGAAAGTGTGATTATGAGAGTGAAGATAAGGGTGCAGTAAATGCGGGAATGGGTGACAATAACTATGAACATGGAAAGTGAGGGTTTTGCTGCTGGGAAATGAGAATGATAGTAAGGGTGATAATGAATAGGAGAGGTGAACAGTATCCAATGCATGGTGAACAGTATCCAATGCATCATATGTAGAAAAAAGTATGAAAGAATATGAATATCTTGAACTGTGGAGATATTCTTTCTCATTCACACCATTTTTTCTGAATGTAAGACATAGTGAAAGAAGGAAGGGTCAGGAATGAGGGTAAGGATAAGAATGAAACATGCTTTAATCCTCTCAGGATGACATATGACAATCATCATTAGGTATGAACATGAACCAATGCAAAAGATTTTTTCTTTTCTTTTTATCATAGTTTTCTGAAATGTGTTAACTCCCGCCCACTCCCACCCCACGAGTACACAATTTATGGAAATGCTATTCTTGATATGCAAATTATATGATAATTTTTCTAATTTCTCAGTCAAGCTCTGAATTCTCCTGTCCTTTTCGGTCAAACTAAAGGTGGAAAATATAGGCCATAGGCTGAAGATGAAAGTGGACATGTGTGCTTTTGCCTTTTCTTCTTGGGCTTGTGGATGGAGCAAAACTGAAGCTGGTAAAGGTATATTTCAAGTCAAAGAAGGAATTCAGAATAAGCTGTCCCATGCTGAGGCTTTAGTGAGGTTGAAAAAAGTACTTGCAGTAAAAATGACCCAAGTAATTTATACAGCACATTCCTGTACTAAAAGAATCCTAGATTTAAAATCAATTATTCAATTTCTTAAATTCATTAGCTTAATGTTCCATGGAAATATAATATTATGGGATAGCTCATCTACTTCACTGCAATAATTCTTTTATTCTTTTTTATTTACGTCTCTGAAAACCCCAAATGATTTAAAATCTTAACAAGTAATATTTGTGACAACTGTGTGCTTTAAATGGCAGGGAATTTAACCCCTTAAAGACCAAAATATACTGTCTGGTCCTCCCTTTCCAATATTCTTTAGTATTTATTCATCCTCCTCTTCCTATTTTCATGATTAGCAAACAGACATATTTCCTCTCTTCAGCAATATTTGCAAAATTAATTATATAGTCATCACTCTGATCTTCAATTAGCAATTTGTATAATAATATAATAATAATAACAATAATAATAATAATAATAATAATAATAATAATAATAATAACAATAATAATAGTAATAATAACAATAATAATAATAAAAAAGATGTAAACACATGGTCATCATTCACTGTTACCATTTGGTTCAAGTTTGATTTCACATTTTAAAGATTGTTCTTTCACAGTTCAAACACATAATAAAAGTTTTCTTCAAATATAGTTATTTATAATTTCTTGAAAAGGAACCTAAGAATTAATTTTCAGAATATCTGGAGGTAAGAGTTGCCTAACCAAGAAATGCTTTGAAACCTATTATTGCCACCAATTTAATTTAATGAGATCTTTCTAGTATGCAATTGCATTTTGCAAGTAAACAAATATCAGATGAAACAAACTGAAGAACACAAAAAACACCACTATGCCCCAATATGTGTCAAATATGCAAACAGTTTTGAAATGTAACTTTGTGCAAGCACTGAACAGTACAAAGCCTTGATAAAATACTGGTTATCATATCAAGCACAGGTGACTTGTGATCAATATACTAATACTGTTTCAAAACAGCATTTGGGAACAGAATTAAAAAGTTGCCTCAAGAAAAAAAGAAAGAGAAAAAAAATTATGTGATTTCTGTAATACTTTGCCAATAAGCAGATAATCGTAATCTACATTTGTGCTTATCATTTTGTTTCTAAATGGTACACATTACCTTTCTGTCCTGAAATAACTGCAGCCGAGCATGGAAATAAGACCAGACCAGATACATACATTTTGGGTATAAGGACAAAGAGAAAAGATATTGATGGAGTCAAAGCCCTGGAAAGGAGGAGGGCTTGCATGCATTCTCAAGCCATGAATGAGTCCTTCTTTTGGACACAATCACCAAATAAAAAGTTTTTCAGTTAAAGTAGCACACAAAATTTCTTTATGTGAAACGGCTTTGGGGGAATGAATGAAACAAAATAAAAATTAACACAGAAAAAAATTAACAAATGCATATTGACGGATATATTTTTTGTATGAAAGTGAACAGTAATTCTGTAACAAAACTTGTGTGCTACACCAACTACAAACAAGATTATAACATTCCTTCTGCAGAAGATATGAGGATTCAAGAACCATTACATGATAACCAAGATTTTACAGTTCCCAACCTCTATAACTAAGAAAGTAGTCAATCAATTGCAAAGAAAACATTGCAACATACACAGCCTTCAAGCGACATTCAGTAAAATTCCAACACAAAAAGCAAGTAAATATATATAATGACACAAACGTAAATTAAATATGTACATGGAAATGTACTTGTGTGTGTGTGTAATATATGTGTGTGTGTGTGTGTGTGTGTGTGTGTGTGTGTGTGTGTGTGTGTGTGTGTGTGTGTGTGTGTGTGTGTGTGTGTGTACATGTGCTTATGTGTAAGTGTATGTGTGTTTGTGTAATATCACAAAATCTAAATGGAATAAGAACTATAGCAATTTTTTTTTTAATGGTATTACAATAAATGATCCATTCATCATAATATAGACCAAAAAAGAGAATGAAATATTAACACAATTCTTCATTAATTTCACAAAATGGAAGATGTCCTTTCAGTAAATTCATATACCAAATCTGATCACTAAACTACTACTACTAATGAATTCAATCTTTAATCAATCTTTTACAGGACTAAACATTTTTAAGATCTTTGCAAAGCGAACAAAAAATCACAAAAAGAACAAGAACAAAATTCTCACTGAAAAGCTGAAAATATATGTTTGTTTCCCATAAAGACTATTTCTATATAGATTTAATCCAAAGCCAGAACATAAAATCTGAGAAAAAAAAAAAAAAAAAAAAAAAATGAAGAGTCTCTTCCGTAATTCCAAATGCAATACCTTACTTGCATTTAGTAGTAAACAAGGCTCTTAAAATGACCCCCCCCCAAAAAAAAAGTAAAACAGACATGTTAAATATCTATGCACGGGAAATAACTAAGAGAAAGGAGACGGCGCAGTGTTAACTTACCCATCGCTAAATGCTCCGTTCCACTCGCGTTCACCCCATGGGTTTTTGAGGCGGACCATGCGGATCTTCTGCGCTCCCCTGCCGCATGAAAAGGACATTAGGGTGTGCAAGAGAGGTTTCAGGTAAGAAGACAAATAGGATTAAAGTACAATCAAATCCATATGTGTGATATTTGGAATCATGGGCATCACATTATCATTCATTAAAACAGTAGAAAATATCTTTCAAGAGATAATACTCATATATGTACTTGACAAAAGAGTATTTTGACACTTTTTTTATGGTTGGGTGTGTTCCTAATACACAGAAAAATATAGCAAATTTAATACTTTCAATAATTTATCTACATCATACAACATTCCACATCAATACTTGTTTAACCATCCTTGAAGTGCTTTTTTTATTTTTAATATATACACATTAGTACTGGCATGCTGCACTCTACAAGAATTATTCTTAAATGTTGCAAATCCTAAACACCATCAAAATCATTAACTCATTCATGCAACTATACCTTCCACATCTAATAATGGATTACTAGTGTCATTATCATTCTTCCAATCAAACATTTATATATAATTCACAAGTTTTTTTTTATTTTTAATAACAAGAGCACAAACAAATTTGCAATTCCATTCTTAATCTAAATATTCTGACACAATAACCTTCGAGAGGACTTTACCTCTCTATCAATGTTTTTTCTTTAACTATACAGTTTTCTGCATTTCTATATCTGTGCTTCCTTATGTCTAGCTACTAAAATTTGGTTCAACTCATCAATCGCTATTTCTTAATCTGTGCTTGCAATGATATCTGATTATCTAAGTATTTGTGTATTGGTGGCCTGTATTAATGCACATCATGAGTGTAACAGACATTATAAATACAATTAAAAGTAAAATCATTTTTTATTATAATCACAACAACAAGGTTATGTTCACAAGTAAATCTATAGTGAAATACACAGACATAAATATCAGTGGATACGAAACACAGCCACAATAATAATAATAATAATAATAATAATAAGAAAAATAATACATAAATAAACAATTGTATTCTAGGAAAAAAAAACATATTCTTTCGATGGTATCTGCAAAATCTACCTCATTTCTAGTGCTGCTGTTCAAGAGGAATCAAATTTGTCTTCAAAAGCTTTTATTTTTACTTTAATCATATCATTTCACACTTCTTGGCTGTGTTTCATTTCATTTTCTATACATTACTGTGTTCGTGGACTGTCGTTCAGTGGGTATATATATATAGAGATAATAGTCTGCTTATTACCTCTTAATGTATGGCCATCCATCTGGCACATACACTAGATTAATATCAACAGGCACATGACTGGGAAAAAGAAGGCAGTTAGAGGAATAAACACTCGTCTGTGACTAAAATGTTGTTACTATATAGATTAAAATCTTTTCCCTTCAGCATATTAATCAAATACTGTTATCACTGACACCCCATGCAGGAAAATCAACAACCTATTTGTAAGAACTAAAAAACTCTTTCAATCACAAAAAGGACAATATTCAAAATTTGAATGTCTTATATACTGCCCAAAAAATGGTTATAACAATAATAATAATTATAATAATAATTATAATAATAATAATAATAATAATAATAATAATAATAATGCAACCAATGAAATAATAAATAAACCAAAAATACAAAAATACAAAAAATAAAAATATTTCTTGCAGCAAATAAAAGTTGGGAAAAAAAAATAAAATAAAAAAAAGGCCCTCAATAAAAGAAAAAAAAAGTCAACACCTGAGCACTCAAATAAGCCATACTTGAATATTGAGAAAAGTCCCGTATCGCCGATGTTGATTTTCCGAACCGCTGTGATGCCGTAAGCATGGCCTTTCACCAAGCCCACGTTTGTTCTCATCTCGGCTTCCTCGTGGGAGTGAGGCTGGAAGAATACAAAGTGAATTTAATGGGCATCGGCAACTTGCATAACTCTGATGCGTTTATTTTTCTCTTTCTGGACACATTTTCTCTTTCTTTCTTTCCTTCTCTAATATCCCAGTATTTGGGGAAAAATCTGTCATTCTCAAAATTGACTGATTACATAGGAATCGCTAAAAAATAAATAAATGAATTAATAAAATGTCAAAGGAATTTCCTTCTAGAAATTACATTTGGAGAAAACTATACAAATGTAAATGAACAAATGTCCTGTATATGTGTATTTGCATGTAAATGTACATATGTATCTTTCTTTGAATCTATCCTTAAATGTAAATGTAGACGTTTGTATATATGGGTGTACATGTACATGTATATACATACGAATATGCATATGTATGTATGTATGTGAATATATATATATGTATGAATGTATGTGTGTGTGTGTGTGTGTGTGTGTGTGTGTGTGTGTGTGTGTGTGTGTGTGTGTGTGTGTGTGTGTGTGTATATATATTCATATGTATATGTATGTGTATATATACATATATATATATATATATATATATATATATATATATATATATATATATATATATATATATATATATATATATATATAGATATATATAGATATATATAGATATACATATGTATACACACATGTACAAGATTACATATACAAATCCCACCTGACTCTGCTTATTACAAAAAACATCTACAACAATCCCTTAAGATTTAACAATACTTATCATTACTTCATAAAACTGCTATCAAACAGTACCCATTCTTAAACAGATGTAATTATCCTTCATGATTTAAAATAGGTTAATGGCTTACAATTCAAATAACAGAGGGTCCTATGAACTCATTTCATTTGATAACAAAAAGACAAAGGCTAACTACGATAAATATTCTAGCAGCATAATCAGTGCCTAAGTTTGGTAAGTGAGGTCTAGGTAATGGCCTTGTTGTTCTAATAAACATTTTCCAGTTAATTGCAGAAACACTATTGCCACACCAAGTCATAAAAAATAATAATTGAGAGAGAGAGAGAGAGAGAGAGAGAGAGAGAGAGAGAGAGAGAGAGAGAGAGAGAGAGAGAGAGAGAGAGAGAGAGAGAGAGAGAGAGAGAGAGAGAGAGAGAAGAGAGAGAGAGAGAGAGAGAGAGAGAGAGAGAGAGAGAGAGAGAGAGAGAGAGAGAGAGAGAGAGAGAGAGAGAGAGAGAGAGAGAGAGAGAGAGAAGAGAGAGAGAGAGAAGAGAGAGAGAGAGAGAGAGAGAGAGAGAGAGAGAGAGAGAGAGAGAGAGAGAGAGAGAGAGAGAGAGAGAGAGAGAGAGAGAGAGAGAGAGAGAGAGAGAGAGAGAGAGAGAGAGAGAGAGAGAGAGAGAGAGAGAAGAGAGAGAGAAAGAGAGAGAGAAAGAGAGAGAGAAAGAGAGAGAGAAGAGAGAGAGAGAGAGAGAGAGAGAGAGAGAGAGAGAGAGAGAGAGAGAGAGAGAGAGAGAGAGAGAGAGAGAGAGAATTAAGCAGATATAAAAACTGAGTCTATATAAAATAACAAATAGCAACATTGCATTTTTATGTCTTCTAACTATGATGCTTTGAGAGAGAAAAAAAAAAACTTATATGCAATGGCAATAGTGAAATAGGGACTTAGTTCTAAAAGTGATTTTCAAAATGGAAAAACAAAGATAAAAAAATCTGTAAGTTAGTCCACAATTCAATTCCAAATGGCATATATACATATTAATAACAACTGAACTACTTCATTTTAGGATCTATTTCTATCAACACTACTATGTTTTCTAAACTATTAATTGCCTGCAACTAAGGGTTACATAAAACCTTACATAGCATGAATAAATATAAGGTAAATAGTATGATCTAAATAAAACACAAAAAAATATGTAGACTGAGCCACATCATGGAACCTTTCACTCAGCTCGGAGTTAACGAAACAATCATTTATAAAGATTGTCTAGAATTCTATGCAGTGCTATAGTGCCAACTGGAAAAAAAGCATCAGCAGTGCACAGTGGTAAAAAAAAATATGACATTAGAAAAATAATTAACTTTATTAAATACACCAGAGTAGATACTATCACTGGCTATTAATAGATTATAAATCTCTTTTTGTCTGCTCTGTCAAAAGCATCTTTAGGATAATTCTCAATTTGAAACTGCACTTGGGATTTGAGCATTTTCTTAAAATGTGTTTTATTTTCCTCAATACACTATATATCCATTAATTTAATGCAATCAAATCTTGAAGAAGTAGAAGAAGAAAAAAAGTCAAATTTTTTGAAAATGAAATTCTAGATATGATAAAAAAAAAAAAAAAAAAAAAAAAAAAAAAAAAAAAAAAAAAAAAAAAAAAAAAAAAATCTGCCAGTTTCAATTCCATCCCAAAGATCTTCATGACCACAGTACCTCCTCCTCTAATCAGCCTATGTGCGTCTACTTCACACGGCACACGGTGAATCACGTTCAACACATGCAGCTTACCCCTGTGAAGTTCTCTCCAGTCTAAGAAAGCCGGGAAGCCCAGAATGTAGAATGAATAAATGTGGCTGAGACAATCTGCTATGTGACAAGGATGAAGTTTCTGGTTTTGTTTATGTCACCTTCTACTGAATCATTAGAGAAATGAGAATGCCAATTATCCAAGTAATTACGAGTAAATCCTTTGTCACATAACATTTCTGAGGGTTAGTTCATATGTGGATTTATATATATAAAAAAAATAATAATAATAATAAATTATAATACATCTGAAGCTGGGAGCATACCATTATTATACTGAAAAGCAAACCATATGTTTAGATCACTAAATTATATTTACAATTTCTCTTATATTGCAGTCTTTAATATCATTACAACTAAGTGCATCAACCACCAAGAATGGAAAATGTATTCAATATATATTGGCCATCTTTCACTTCTGTGTTAAAAAAAAAAAAAAAAATCTTTGTAATTTTCTGAATCTACTTTGAATTAAAATAACTGTCCATCATTTGTGAAATAATCCCAAATATTTATAAACTGAGTATATCTTTTCCAAGATATATTTCCTCTGAAGAAGAAATCTACAGATACCTCAAAGGTGACTAGAGCATCCTTGTAGAATACATATTCCCATTGTTATTCAGTTAATACAGGTGCTACCATTCAACTGATCTGAATTTAATAACAAGCCTAAATGAGTAAAAATTCCAAAATCAAATATTACCACACACTAGACTTTACCGAAATCACGACCATTAATTTCTGCAAGTGGTTGACTTACTTTTAAGCTTTATATATCCATATACAGTTTATCTCTACCTGTCTGTTTACCAATTATCAAATCATTTTCCACATGCAAAAATTAAACTTCATACAATCACCAGAATGTAACCAATATTCCCTTTTTATCTATATACAATGGAGTATATTTGAATTAATGTGTATGAGACAATCACACACAAGGAAGGAACCTAAATTTCCATAAAGCAGTATTTACACATTACATCAAGCCCTCATGATTTTTTTTTTCTCATGAATTTTTCTGGCATGACATAATCTTATACAGGACATATTCTAAAAACTTGTCAATGCCATGAGTCTGTGCCTTCTCTCCTCATGACATATTGTTCATGCTTTCCACGTACTGTGTCAGAATTGTGAAAGTGTGTGTGTATATAATGTTAAGGTTACCTTCTTGGCTTTACTACTCTCTGGAGAAAAGATTGTGATCTTGTTTCTAGGCTGTCAAAGACAAATAAAATTCATGAACTTTGTTATGATCCTTATTTCTGTGTTGTATATCCTTATCCAAAATACATATAAAATATCACAGTCAAAATTCACAACAGATAATGATAGCAGATACAAAGAAAAGAAAAGAAAAGAAAAAAAATCACTCCATAGTCTAAGGGGTATGTCCAATTATTGCATATCTTAAAATCACTTTTTCACAGCATCTGGAGAAGAAGAAGACAAAAAAGAAAGAAAAAAAGAAAAGAAAGAAAGACGAAAAAATGAAAGAAAGAAAAAAAAGACAAAAAAGAGAAAGAAAAAAAGACAAAAAAAAGAAAAGAAAGAAAGAAGAAAAAAAGAAAAAGAAAAGAAAGAAAGAAGGAAAAAAAAAGAAAAGAAAAAAGAAAAAGAAAAAGAAAGAAGAAAAAAAGAAAAAGAAAGAAAAAGAAAAAGAAAAGAAAGAAAGAAAAAAAGAAGAAAGAAAGAAAGAAAAGAAGAGAAAAAAAGAAAAAAGATAGAAGAAAAAAAAAAGAAAAAGAAAAGAAAGAAAGAATGAAAAAAGAAAAAAGAAAAAAGAAAAAGAAAAAAGAAAAAATTAAAACTTACACGTTATCCCTTGACCAGACACCAAGACTCCTGTCACCTCTCATTAAACATGTTACCGTCATGTCAGTTATGCCCTTCTTTCTCCTTCCAAGGTGTTTTCTTCAAACCAAAATTCGTTGAGATTTGTAAAGGCAGTCGATATACTACATCAAAACTATATATCAATATATATGTACTTGAGCTAATCATGCTTATAAGAATTATGATAATCATAATGGTAATAATAATGACAATACTGATATAATAATAATGCTTAAAGTAGTAATAATAATAATGATAATAATGACAATGACAATAACAACAATGATAATGATAATAATAATGCTAATGATAATGATAAT